AATACACCCCAAAACTTTAGTTCGACGTACAGCGCCCTATTGTCGAACAGATGGCACGAAATTTTACCAGGGGCTTCATAACGGTGCGATATGACTTGTTAAATTGTTAAAGTACGTATCAAAGACCAAAGAAAGAAAACACGGAGCTTTTGCAGTACGGCCAAGAAAAGTCCGATAATCTCTTTTGTAGTCAATAATACGTACATCAGCTATCTTAATAGGTTGTACCACACGGCTATCAAGCCCCTTGTAAACTTTGGGGACGCCTGTTCGATTATGGGGCGCTGTAAGTCAAATTAAAATTTTGGGGTGTATTATATGGGACAAGGGGCGTAATAATACACCTTTTTTTCTGAGAGTGTACGGCTAAGAAAGTTCGGGAGCAAGTTAGGGCGAGACTAACTAAGCAGGGCCAGTCAGGTCTCCTTATCTTTTACACTCGGAATAAGAATATACACGAATATTCTAGATTACACTCTTAAAAAAAAGCTAGTAGTATTTACTAGGTAAGAGCCAGCAACCGTTTGTCACATATGTTACTAGGTACCTAGTAACCTTAGGTAGTAACGGTCAGGCTAGTAAAGGTTACTAGGTCAAGAAGCTAGTAACTGTTACTAGCCTCAAAGTAGAATCTATGCATTTTACTACCTTTAGCTAGCAACTTCCGCTACCTCCCGATGGAAGACCGGAAACGCAGCTAGTCACGTGATTTCCGGTCGAAACAAAAAAGGTGTGTGGTTATGCCACTTACCACCAGGTGGCAGGCGCAACAAAAATTGAAACTGGAAATGAGTAACCCAGGTGGCGCTAGTCACCGTCCAATTGATTATTCATAGTTTATTTTATTTTGTTCACATTTATCAAGTTGACAAGTAGATACATATAAACCCACATTTTTAGCACACATCGACACAATGCATTCAACACAAACACACGCTCACTTAATCACTCTAATAGCCAACTACCGGCGGGGGCAGTGGGGATCGAACCCAGGAGGTTCATAGCGCAAGTTTACGAGCGGAGACGCCTTGGCCTACTCGGCCACTTCCTCCCCGCTAAATTCCTTCACTGCCTTTAAAGGGGCCCTACAATGACTTTTTTACTCATTTTTAATTTGCACCGAACCTGAGCGCACTGAACTTAGTAACTTAGTGAAACTTTCCTTTTCTCGAAATTCCCTTTATTTTAAAAGTTACAGACAAATGAAAATTACAAAAACAAGCAAAAAATAACCTCCCTCATGACGTCCTTGGTTGCTTGAGGGTGGCCGTGAACTAGAGAAGAAGTAGTGAGCTCATCGAGCGCTCACGGCTGCCGCACTCCGTGTCGACGGCGCGAGAGGGCGCCATCAAGCGTGTTCTCGGTAGGCTGTATGCAGTGGGCAGCCGGAGCGGCTCGCATTGCATTTGCTGCGCGATTAAACACTAATTCGGCATGACACTTCATTGGCCACAAACGACAGCAAACACGGGGTAAAGATCAGTTCAGAATGAGAGCTACTTTGCGCTGCCATACCGCGAAACGGCCAAACAGCAAGACAAAGCTTGTCGCCGAAGGCCTTCGGAACGCTCGGAGCCGGTCGGATCCTCCTGCCCATACGACCGCAACGCCGCCGCGTACATCCAGGACCTTTCCGTGTCGGCGCCTGATCCCACTACTCCTTTCTAGTATGCGCCGCCTTTTCCACCGCTTGGTGGCGGGTATGTCGACGGGTCATTTCTTGTTTCCGTACTTTGTGAACTGCATTCGTTTCTTTTTTTTTTTTTAATCTAAAATACGGAACAAAAACTACTTTTATAAATAACTGAAACGGTTCGCGCCACTTATATTTTGTATTTCGACTAAAAAGAAGCTTTTAGCAGCTCTGACCAGTAGTAAGCCCAGGACCAAAGACGTCACATTTTGCGCGCTTTCGGTAGCGCGGGTCGCCCTCGTCAGTGGAGGAGGTTTCCGCGTCGTCCGGTTAAAATATGACTCACTAATATTTAGTTACTCTCTTCGTGCCCGCTGGCTTGCCCGAACCCCAAGAGACGTGGAAACCGCAAAAAAAGGTAGACGCTTAAATATGACTGCAGGGCCCCTTTAAATCTTTTATACCGACCATTTGAGTGCGCAAACTAGCCGTCGTGTATCAGCGCGTCAGTTTTTCGCAGTCACTAGGTCGGTTGCGCGACGACGCAAACCGCATGAAAGCGACGGGGACAAGCGGCCAAGGTGTTGAGCGACGTTTCTTAGAAATTAAATAAAAACGAGCGCCGCGACGGGTGACCGTGAGAAATCGCCGTCGCTCGTCGCTAGCTCGTCGCTCGCTAAATCGGTTACATGCGGTTCAGCCTTTAAAACGAATGCGGTCGCCGTCGGCAAGAATGCTTTCTTGCCGTCTCCCGCGGCAAACGAAGGCTGTAATTGACGGGGAGTACGACGGCAGCTGCACTCCCTTCGCCCGTGCTGCGCTACAAAAATGCATGCAAAATCAATACCGCGTGCAGCTCGCATCTTAATTTTTGTAGTACACTGACAAATGATCGCGTTTTTGAGGGAGATTTAAGCAAATTCAGAAAGATTCGTAAAATGACAAAACAGTTTTTCTTTTTTTTTTTCATTAGTCCCAAAGCTACATTCACTATTTACGACGCACATCAACGGTTGTGACAACGCACTGTCACGACCGAAGACAGCTCAATCAGAATCATTCAACCACCGAACAGACACAAACCGTGAAGAAGTTCTCCGTGTCAAGTAGGAGTAGGCACAGAAAAGCTTGGACGACGAAACCCAATCCAGTGACAGCGGCACCGGCTGGTTAGAACTACCCTCGGAGCAGTCCAGGTCCACGCACGCACTCGCCCCGCAAGCGCACGGACGCTAACTATGCACTTCAACACGGGAACACGAGAACTGCACACGACACAAGGCAAAAACGGCAGGTTTACATCGGAAAAATTAGCGTCTTGAAAACTCCGACTGGCCCCAACTTGCTTGTCGTACAATGTTGCCAAGCGTCGCTTGTGAAAGAAAAACATTAGTTTTAAAAAAGTATAAAACAAAACGGAATTAACTTTTTTGTTTTGTTTTCGGAAACGTTTTTAATATGTGCTACGTGGCTATTTTCATCCCAGTTAAAACCAAAATGAAGATAGAAACGATCACAAACGAATGCAAACGAGGAGGAAAGTAGGAATGCAAACGAGAAGGAAAGTAAGTAAGCCGCATGGCCATTGCATCAACAATGGCTGCTGCGCTCGCTGCAGCGCTGGCAACGTTACTAAAACGCTCAGTTGGGAAACTCCCATAGAGACAGATTTAAAAAAAATGCCCCAAATCTGTCTCCGATCACCGAGCTAATGACGAACACAACGCCACCATTTCTCCCGCAGCGGCCACTCGAGGAACTGCACGTGACTTCTATTATGGCTCTAAGAACAGATACAACGGTAGAGGTTACAGCGGTGCCACCCCCGTCTCCCCAGCGGACGCGCCGCGTTCAACTCCCGAAGTGAAAATGCTCATAGGTCTGGACGCGCTACCTGAAAGGCCCGCTGAGGCATGGTTGTATAAAAACAATATTAATTGTTCCGCAAAACCTTGCGAACTAAAGATGATAAAAACATCACGCGCCCATCATTTGGTACTAAACTCCAATAAATTTCATGCAAACAGAGTCTTTTCCGTTTTGTTATTACGCAAAAATAGGCTTTCAAAAAGCTCAAGGTGACCACAGTACAGACAAACGATAAAGAGTGGCGCTGTTGTCGCATTTAGCTCGGTCTCGGTGGACGCCAGCGGCCCAGGTTTCGACGGCGAGTTTCCCAACTGAGTGTTTTAGTAACGTTGAGCGCTGGCTTCCGCGTCGTGCTGTTGCGGAGGCTGCGATCGTTATAAAGTCAGCTGCAACCCTTAAACATGCCCCCTCATACAATATTTGACGCTACGATTGCGTGTAGATACCTCCCCCTGCGATCCGAAACAGCAAGTACGTCGCTAACGCTGGCAATCGGGTATGAAGCAAGCGCCGCCATCTTCTCCGCGTTGCGGTAGTAAATGGCTAGTAAAAAGGTAGCAACGGTCAGAAAAAGGTAGCAATGGCTGCATCTGCTAACTTTTTACTACCTATCGCGCGTTTGAGGTAGTAAATTGTTACTGAAAGGTAGTAACGCTCAGAAAGGGGTAGTAACTGCTGCAGTCACTAGCTTTTTACTAGCTTTTTTTCTAGGAGTGTAGCAGAGAAGCGTTCCTTGTCGGTCATGCACGCGGCAATATCAGTTTCACAAATGTAGATTCTGCGCCATTGTGGGCTAGCTCCACTGTGATTCAGATGAATAGGAGAAGCATAAAAAAAGTATGGCTGTATCGAGGCAGAATTCTAAAACTTCAAACACTGAAATTAACGCGTAGTCGTTCGTCTGACCTCAATAGCCTCATAGACGACCACAAAACGCAGAACTGCCAAAGCGAAATGCTCTTTACCTAACACGTCTCATTCTAAAATTGACAGTTCTGACGTTTTTGATAATTTTCAAAACAAAATGGAAAACACAACTTGACTTAGTTCAAAAGCAAGATTTACACGTACTTTCAACCTTGATTGCACACAGCGGAACCTCGGCATGGTTAATAATGTTGTCAAACATAGATCCATCTACAAGGCACAATTGTGCGCAAGAAAGCCAGCCAGGAACCGAACAGCTGTTCCTAGTAGCATAATATTTATACACGGTTGATCATAAAAACAGAGCGCAAGAGTTTCAAAGCAGGCAGACAGTATCCAAAATTAGCAGGAAAAGAAGTGGTCATGCATGGGGGCCCATTTTTGGACATTAACCCTTGTCCTAGTCCTTCAGCTTGTTTATTTTTCAAGTTCCCAAGAAAGATCGTTTGTGATTGACAAAGAAAACAAATGTTTTTTAAAAGACAACCAGTTTTTCCGTTACATTTGCGGACAAATCGATTACTTCAGAGTTCCGAGGGCATACTGGCAGGATCGCCTGCACAAGATACGGATGGCAGGTCTCAATACCATAGCCAGCTACGTCGAGTGGAGTGGACACGAACCTCAGCCTGGGAAGTTAAACTTTGTGGACAACTACGATCTGATCGAGTTCTGCAAAGAAGCCCAGCGTGAGGACCTCCTGGTGATTCTTCGTGTGGGCCCCTACATCTGCGGTGAGAGAGACAATGGTGGATTTCCTTCTTGGCTCTACAACACAATAGCACCCGGTAACTTCCGAACGACCGACAAAGTCTTTATGGACGCCACTGAGAAGTGGCTGGGTGAACTGTTACCGAGGATAAAAGGAACGTTCTACAAAAATGGTGGTTCAGTGATAGCCCTTCAAGTCGAGAACGAGTACGGGATCCAAATGTGCGAGAGCGGTTATATTCCTGGAGTTTACAATATATTCAAGAAACACGTCGGGGGCGATGTTATCTTGTTCACTAGCGACTTCTGGAGAGAGAAAGACCATAAGTGTGGGGGAGTCCAGGATGTTCCAAAAGCTGCCCACATGCGCGCACACGACTCCGTGGCGACTGTTCGATCAGCCATGAATTCCATAAACACACAAGGATGTCCTTTTTTCTTAATGGAATATTATGTAGGATGGTATACTAAGTGGGGAATAGCGCACGAGGAAAGAAATCCGCCCAAATTCATGGACACATTTAAGGAACTAATACGAACGAATGCTTCCGTCAACATCTACATGTTCCATGGAGGGACAAACTTCGGGTTTAGCGCACCCTCAAGAGAAGGCACTCCACTGGTCACAAGCTATGACTACAATGCACCGCTCTCCGAAGCGGGAGATCCGAGGGATTTGTACCACAAGTTAAGGGACATCATCAAGGACTTTTCTACGTTGCCACCGGGAGACGTGCCGGTCGCTTCTCCAAAGATTAATATCGGAGTTGTAAATTTAACCGAAGGAGTATCGCTCATGGAAGTAATAGACCATTTCAGAGCAAATGGCTGGATCAAAAAGTATGAGCAGTCTGCCCCAATGACGTTCGAAGACATGGGTCAGGATTATGGATTCGTCATGTATACAGCCAAGGCGGGTTCCGTCATCAATGCTACTCTGATAGTTTCTGGCATCAAGGACAGTGCCTACGTCGTTGGAAATGGCAGTATACATGTTCTCAACTCACAGTTTTACACAAAAAGCATTGATATTAAGGAGGGCGAAACTCTCACTATATTCGTGGAAAGTCTTGGCAGGGAGTTTTTCAAGATAGGGAAGGACCCAAAGGCAAGTGTTTTCGTTATTACTTTTGATTGTCTTAATGTTTGGGTTTGTTTGATGTAGAATTACGTCAGTCTCCGTGCTTGTAAGGGGGTGCAAAGTTTAGCGATGGATGTCACCAAAAACATGGTCGCGGAAGTGACGCACACAAATAATACCGCAGCGCCGACCGATTTCCTAGCCGCGCTCCCTGACGGCGCGCTGTGCCTGCTGCCGAGAACCGCGCAGTTAGGTATGCGCAGTACACCAATTCACATGAAGTTCTCACACTCTTTCACATTTGCACCTTGTTCGACTGATCGGACGACCTTGACATCATCCTAGACCTCGTTCTTGAGGCCGTTTTCGAATTTGTCCTAGATGCGCCGGACGTCGCATTTGACGTCGTCCTCTAAGACTTTATCCTTGAAGTTCTCCTGGAGGTCATTCCTAAGATTGCTCGGGAGGTCGTTCTAAATGTCGTCCTCGACGTCGTTTTGAACGTACCCCTTGAGGCTGTCCGAGCGAATGCTAACGCAATTTATAGACCACCAACAATAGTGGTTGCTGCAGCAATTTCAAACTTGCTGGCTTGCTAATTTGCTCGCTTGAACGGGACGCGCCCCTGTCCGATTCAAACTGCGATAAACGCCGCTGCCGCAGCCTGTTCATCTCACTGAACAGCGGCCGAGCGCTTGAGCTCGCGTCCCCTCTGGCACGGGAAGTTCACAGAACTCTCAAGTGTGAATCGGCGAAGGGTTAACCCCTCAGATTTCTTGTTCCACTCACATGTAGTTCAACGAAAATTTGCGGAGCATAGTAAACCTATGCGCCGACCAATTTTCATATGCAGTGTAACCAAATATCGCGATACCTCAAAGGTGGGCCGACTTCACGTTAACTAAACACAAACTTCTAATTCATAATGCACGCAATTTCTCAATTTTAAAACTGTTGTTTTATATAAAAAGTGCGCACAAATCAGACATGTGAGTAAACAAGGGAAAATGCACAAGAGTGCTCGTTTCAATATAGCTTACAAATACCACTTACTACGGGGATCTTAACGCGAGACTGGAGTAGGCAGAGGAAATTTTTATGCAGTTGAATAAAAAGTAACAGGGACAAACAAAATCTAGAACTACGCTAATAATTTTATTCAACCAACCTCCATTAAGATCATACGAAACACGCAAACTGCGTTCCATTTCTGCAAGCGCTGTCCTGGCGGCAGCTGAAAAACTGGTTCATGACGTGTTGCTCCATTGTTCATCCTGAGCAGAAGAACCCGACTGCTCAAAGCTGTGACCGTGTCTAGAAGGGGGTGATGCAGCAAAAATGGATGTCGAACGAGCTACGCGTTCGGGAGATTTGTTTAGGTGACTGTCGAAAGTGCAAATTATTGGTTCATTCAGTAAAAAAAAAGTCATGTGGCTTCAGATGCCGTCTTTCAATGGCTTAAGGTTACGGCAGTTATATGTGCATGTTTGTATGAAAGTGTGGCGACGAGTGCGGATTGGTTGTCTGCACAAATTGCTGCGGAGTCCGCGATACAGTTACAGTTATTACATTAAGTGAGCCACCTGCCTTTCTCGGACTTACTTACAACCACACCTGCATATTTTATTTTCAATAGATAGAAATATTGACAGCTCTTTTACACGTTTGTATATACATATTGTCAAATTACACAAAAAATCATACATATTTACACAGGCTTTTGCTCGTTGCATATGGCGACTGCACTGCAAAAATACATTCACATATTGATTCTTTGTAGAGTACTAGAAAAAAGTATTTATTATATCGAACAGCATCTAAATTATTTCTCTACTTACCAAATGCCATTGTTTGATGACTTTTCATGTCCGTCTATTTTTTCAATATTCTTGCTCTGCTTTATAAAATATGGTGATTAGATTGACACATAATTCTACCCCTGGCAAAGTTCTTCAGTTAGACTAGGGCCGTAATGTCATTTTTGTTAATCGAAGTTTAAAAACAGACTATGTCATTCAATACCTTTTTTCACAATGTATGCAGTACAATTGCTGTAATCACGCTGGAACAGCAGGACGTTCGTCTACTTGGAAGTTTGGCATCTTATGCTATGCTGCATTTAATCCGTCTATTCGAGAGGCACTGAAAACATGTGGACTTCGGTGAATTTGGCGTCATGCAAACTCGCTTTTAATATTAGGCGCCCGAGCCCATGTGAAAAGCGAAAATAGAAAATTAAACTGAATGTCACGATCAACCAAAATAGTTTTCCTGCTTTTGGTGCTTTTAATTTTTATGACCTTTTTTTCAGGCGTTCAGATTTCCGATTCCGCTGATTTTGCTAGTCCAAATGTAATCGTAACATCCGGTGGTCAGCAGCAACATCGACATGGTTCCACAATTTCCGGATACCGTTCGTATACGGATACAAAGTCTGCGGATGTAGATCGGATGCGTATACTTAAACTGTTATTCGCCCAGGGCTCGGCCGTCCTCTTCTTCCTCGTCCTCTTCGGCTTGTCGCGGGATCGCTCATCACATTGACCCTAATTCGTCGAAGTTTATTGAGTAGTTTTTATTAAAGCAGACTAACTTTACCTCTGTACTTAATACAATTTTGATACAAAACACTCGATATTTTCGATACAGATGAAAAGGTTTGACGAAATTCTCACACAAGCTCACAGATTTCACGAGCTAAATTCTAAGGGCGACTAGGCCGATTTCATGAAATATTGTTTTCGCTAAACCGTTTCGCCTTGAAGGGTTATTGTCTTAATAATCCTCAAGACATTCGTCAACATTTAAGGCTGTCTTCTTGCGTCAAATCAAGGTTGAATGAGTCTAATCAATTTAATGATACTGATAACACCAGAAATTAGAAGATTAAACTTTGGGTCACAGCCAGCGATCAAAATATTTACTGCCCATTGTTCATATTGTCGCAGATGGAAGAGGCTCGAAAATCGTAATGCTAAAAATAAAGGTTTGTTCGGCTACTTGTGCCAGAAACCAAAGGAAGAACATAAGTCCACAATGCAGCAGCGAGCATCGACGCCTCAGCGGTGAACGACTGTGCGTCGGCGTGACAACTGGCTAGGGCGAGAATGAATGCGTCGGCAATAGAGCGATCGGCTCTTCATCTACTGCACTCGGTATTGCAAACATTCGACCTAGGAAGGTCGGGAGATAAGCTAGGGCGAGACTAACTAGGCAAGGCCATTAAGGTTTTTTTTGTGTTTTACACTCAGAATAAGAATATATAGGAATGTTCTGGATGCACGAAGAAGCGTTCCTTGTCGGTCATGCACGCGGCAATATCAGTTTCACAAGTGTAGATTCTGCGCCATTGTGGGCTAGCTTCACTGTGGTTCAGATGAATGAATTCTAAAACTTGAACCACTGAAATTAACAAGCAGTCGGTCGTCTCACCTCATTAGCCTTTGAGAAGACCACAAAACGCAGAACTGCTAAAGCAAAATGCTCTTTAGGTAACACGTCTCAGACGAAAATTGACAGTTCTGACGTTTTTTAAAATGTTTCAAATTAAATGGCAAACGCAAGTTAGTTCAAAACTTAAATTTACAAGGATATTCAACCTTGATTGCACACAGCGGCACCTTGGCATGTTAAATAGGGTTTTCAAACATAGATCCATCTACAAGGCACAATTGTACGTAAAAAAGACAGCCAGGTTCCTCTTACCATACTATTTATACACGCTTGACAATAAAAATAGAGCGCAAAGGCTTTGAAGCAAGCATGCACGCGGCAATATCTGTTCCACGCAAGTAGATTCTGCGCCATTGTGGGTTAGCTCCACTGTTATTCAAATGAATAAGAAAAGCTTCAAAAAATTCTGGCTGCATAAAAGCAGAATTTGAAAACTTCAAACACTGAAATTAACACATAGTCGTTCGCCTACCTAAATAGCCCTTTAGAAGATCACAAAACGTAGAACTGCTAAAGCAAAAGGCTTTTTAGGTAACACGTCTCTGGCTAAGACTGACAGTTCTGACGTTTTTGATATTTTTAAGAACAAAATGGCAAACGCAACTTAACTTAGTTCAAATTCTACACCTATATTCAACCTTGATTGCACACAGCGGCACCTCGGCATGTCTATTGGGTTGTCAAACATATATTCCTCTACAATGCACGATTGTGCGTGAAAGAGTTAGCCACGAACCGAACACCTGTTACTCTTAGTATAATATTTATACACGGTTGATCATAAAAATAGAGCACGAGGTTTTCAAAGCAGGCAGATAGTATCCAAAATTAGCTGAAAACGAAGTGGTTATGCATGGGGGCCCACTCCTGGACATTGACTCTAGTCCTAGTCCTTCAATTTATTTTTTATTCAAGATGCCAAGAAAGATCGTTTGTGATTGACAAAGAAAACAAATGTTTTCTAAAAGACAACCAGTTTTTTCGTTACATTTCCGGAGAAATAGATTACTTCAGGGTTCCGAGGGCATACTGGAAGGATCGCCTGCACAAGATGCGGATGGCAGGTCTCAATACAATTGCCAGCTACGTCGAGTGGAGTGGACACGAACCTCAGCCTGGAATGTTAAACTTTGTGGACAACTACGATCTGGTCGAGTTCTGCAAAGAAGCACAGCGAGAGGACCTCCTGGTGATCCTTCGTGTGGGCCCCTACATCTGCGGTGAGAGAGACAACGGTGGATTTCCTTCTTGGCTCTACAACACAATAGCACCCGGTAACTTCCGAACGACTGACAAGGTCTTTATGGAGGCTACTGAGAAATGGTTGGGTGAACTGTTACCGAGGATAAAGGGGACGTTCTACAAGAATGGTGGTTCGGTGATAGCCCTTCAAGTCGAGAACGAGTACGGGATCCAAATGTGCGATAGCGCTTACATGCTTGGAGTTTACAATATATTCAAGAAACACGTCGAGAGCGATACCATCTTGTTCACTGCCGATTTTTGGAGAGAGAAAGACCATAGCTGTGGAGGGGTTCAAGGTGTTCCAAAAGCTGCCAACATGTACGCATCGGACTCCGTGGACAATGTTCGATCAGACATGAATTCAATAAACACGCAAGGTTGTCCGT